GTCCAAAGCTGGGCTTTTGCCCACTTACTCAGCCTCTTCCATGGCCACGGGGCACTTGTACTGGGCTGTGTTGAAAAGGCAGATGTCTGCATACTGGCGCACTGGGGAGGAAGAGGGAAACAAGGTGGGGTGAGCCAGGGTACAAATCCCAGGCATCCCAGGCTCCCTGAGTCGGGGATGTTCAGCACCAGGCAATAGCCGGAGTCCACTGGGGGCTTCTGCAGGAGATGGACCCGTCCTCCACCCAAAGGACAGCCCAGACATGCCCATTCCCTTCCACAACCAAAAGTCTCCTCCTCAGGGAAATCTACCCAGAACCCAGGGAACCTAAAAGAAGAAGGGGCCTCAACAGTAAACTCATTACCTGGCCAATAACCAGCCTGTGTTATCAGTCTCAAAAGCCTTACCCTTTGGCTTAGAGTAGGCCTTGGGCTTCCCTGAGGACCAACAGTTATTTACAAGGCTGTTAATGAAGGGAGAGCCTTCAGCTACCCCAACCCCTGGAAGGAGATTCCTGGGTCGCCCCTGGGCTGGCCCTCTGCCCGGGTACCCGAGATCTTGATCTTCTTCACTGTCTTGTTGGTGTTGTTAGTGACATGGACATTGACGCTGATGGGTTCTCCGTGGTAGTAGATCTGGGAGGCATAAGAAGGGAGAGGGGTAGATGGGAGGATTCCAAAGCTCTAGATGAGGAGGAGGGAGAAGAGGTCCCACACACATCTCTGGGATTCCCTAGGCCTTGGCCACTCTGACACTGACCCCAAGTTCATCAGCCACTTCCTACTGATGCTAAGCCACCAGGCATATTAGACTTAGTTCCTTTGAGGGATCTTGAAAGATAACTGAGTTAGAAGGTGGTATTTCTGAGTTCCAGTCCTGGGTGGGTCACCAGAAGTAATGGTAACAGTAATAATAACGATAATGAGAATGCGAGCAGTGTGACCTTGGACAGGTTATCTAAGCCTCAGTTTCCCCCTTCATACAATGGAAGGGTTGGAGTAGGTAATATATCAAGTCCCTGCCGGCTCTGGCTGCCTGGAATTTAGACTTAGGTGGGTCTGGAAGAAGCAGGAAGAAGGCGAGGAGGGGCTGACCCCCTCACTGAGGGAACCAGTTCTGAATCTTCACTGAAGACCCTCAACTTGCATCTTGCCCCTAGCACTTGCCTTCAGCTGCCCCTGCCCCAAGAGAGGGAGAGAGGGTGCCCACACTTCAAGGGGGGACAGTGATGCAGGGATTCGGCCAGGACCCTTTGGGAGGCACAATGACCTCTGAAGTCAATTGCAACCTTCAGGCTCATGCCCCCCTCTGCCACCCCTTTAGTCCCCAGGAGGCTTCTCCAAATCCCCCAAGGGAGGTCTCAGCTCCCCGGAGCCCTGTGGTCCTTGGACTGGGGGCAGAAGCTCCTACTTGAGGAGTCCCAGAGGCCATGAGAGAGCTGGGATCCGAGGTTCCAGCCCTGGGAGATTAGCTCCCACCCCCACCCCCACCCCCAAGCCTCCTACCTCTTTATCCAGGGAGGCCTCCAGATGCAAGGGCTTATCTGACATAAGGAACTGCCTGGTGGTTTCGGCTGTGGGCTGGGGGCCAGGCCTCTCTGGGGCATACTGAACCTTCCGGATGACCAGGCGCACAGAATTCCTAATAGAGATGGGCAAAGCACAAGATGACCAGAGTCACCTGCCTCCATCCCCTTCCCTGGTGACCCTGACATCCTTCTTTTACTCAAGAGACTGCTATGGCTACCATGGCTTTAGAATCCAGTCCAAACTGCAGACGTTGGCATAGGGTCTTGTCACCATCTGGTCCCATTCCAGCCTCCCCCATTCTGTCCCCAGCCTCTCCCACTTTCTCACTGTCATCCTTAATGGTCTATCTAGTCCTCTTCCTGGAGCTCAGCCTACACTGGGTCTCAGCCTATAACACGCTCTTTCGGCTTCTGCCTTCATTTGCTTCCTTCCTCAAGGCCCAGTGCAACACCTGTTCTTACAGGAAACCTTCCTGGATCCGCCCACTCTGATCTTCTCCTGGTCTGAACTCCCACAACATCAGAGGCTAAACCATCCCATGGTCGCAATTTAGGTGGATTTGCGTCTTGGTAACCAGCAGGATGCTAAGAAAGGGACCGTGTTTCACTTCCTGCATCCCTTAGGTCACCAAATAGTGTGAGCTCCTTAAGAACAGAAGTTTTTGTCCAAATTGTCCACTGTTGTATTCTCAGCACCTATGACAGTGCCTGCTGTCATATAATAGATACCTGCTAAATATCTATTAAATAAGAATGTGCACAGGGGACAAGGGACCCATGAAGAAACAGGGGCTTGGAAAGGTGACAGAGTTCAGTGAGGGGGTACTGATTCCGTCAGGCGCATGCAGGCCAGTAAAGAGGACAAAGACTCAGTGAGAGGATGGAAGCTCAGAGATGAGATGGGGCTCAAGGAAGGTGATGGGCTCACGGAGGAAAACAGGGACATGAAGATTTGATGAGGGGATGGGGACTCAGTCAAGCAGTCTCCGGGGTGTGCTAGGTATTCCAGCACCCTCATTTCCCAGATAAGCCACCTCCACTCCCTGGAACTGGATAGTCAGGGTTAAAGTCCTGGCTCTCCCCTTACTAACTATATGACCTTGAGTAAATTAACCTCTGTGCCTCTGTTTCTTCATCTGTGCAATGGTGACAAAAGCCAAACCCACTTCTTAGGGTTGCTGTGAGGATTAAATTAGTTCAGACATGTCTACCACTTTGAACTGTGTCTGGCGCCTAATAAGCTCTTGATAAGTGATAATTGCTGTATCATTGTTAGTGACTCTGGCGTGGACTTAAAATATCCCATTGGTGGTCAGTTGACAGTGCTGGCTCTCAACGTTGCCTCCTCTTCCTTGCTCTAGTTTGGACCCCTGCCACAACCTACAACCCCCTTCCTTTCTCCTTGTTGCAAGTCTTAAGAAGAAAAGGGGGACAAAGAAGCAAGGGAGAAGGGTCCAATCTCCGTACACACGTAAACTGCCCCCTTTGGAGTTAGAGATGCCTGCAATGCATCCTGTGACCACCAGGTGGCAAACTCAGCCCACTCTCTAAGAGGTTGCAGCGCCCTCAGGAAGTAGCTCAGGAGGCAGGGTACATCAGAATTGGGGGCTGAGGCCAGCCTCGCCAGCAGGCAGGGCAGAGCCTGACCCCAGGAAGGGCAGGTATGAGAGCGGGGCTGGGCAGCTCACCCTAGAAGTCAGGGCCAGTTATTTCTGGCTGTTAGCCTGGGGTCTCTGTCTGCCCAGGGCTGTGTCTCTCCAGGAGAATGCTTTCCCTCTCTGAGACATGGCTGACCTCCTGCCCTGGGTAGTTCACTTTCTCCACTTCCCTCCCTTGCTTTGAAGCCTCCACTGACCACCACCACCCCACCACCCCTGCCTCCCCAAACTCCTGCTACTGGCCTCCCGGGAGAACTGGCTGGGCAATGGGGGTCCAGGCTGGCCGGGAAACATCTTGTTCACTGTTTAAAATAATATGAATTTCGTGGGGTTTTTTTTTTCCAAAACAAAATAAAAGGACACTCTGTCTGGAGAGGAAGAGATTAGAGGCAGGGAGATAAAGGAAGCAGGTATAGTGGTGCAAAGGAAAAAATGCTGAGGCCCGAGTCAGAACCATTGAGCCACCTCTCCCAGGAAACCCTCATGACCTGCCAGGCTTCCAGAGTGCCCTTCACAGAGCTCCCAAGGCTGGAATGCGGGGCCCCTCCCCGCACACTTCCAGGCATTGTTACTTTTGTCTTCTCCGGACTCAGCCCGTCCTGTCTCCCTCCCTCTGCCAGCAGGCAGCCAATTCCCAGCGGGGGGGGGGGGAGGGGAGCCGCGGCGGCGGGTGGGGGGGGCTGCGCCTTCTCACCGCTTGTGGATCTTCTCCTCCAGGTTCTCCGCGCAGAAGGCTTTGACTTCGTAGTCCACACCACAGGCCTGTAGGGAAGGGTCACTGACCACATGGCCTCGGAGAGGCCAGGCTCCCGCGAGCACCGCCAGCCCACCCTCTTATTTAACAGGGCCTCTGGATGGGAACACCAAGTACCCTCCCCAGCCTGACCCAGCTCACTCTCTGACTTGGACCCCTGCACTCTGCCTGGTGCGGGGTTGCCTCCCCTACTTGACCTTCCCACAGAGCTGCTCCCTGCCCGGGCTCCTCTTCAGACCCCTGCCTGTCTGGGTGGCTGTCCTCATCAAGGCAGCTGCCCAGAAATAACAATAGGCACCTCAACAACCCTGTTCTGGGAGCGCAGACTCTGCACTGGCCGCACCCTTCAGCGTCTCACTGCCTGCTCCTGACCCCATGACCAGGCACATCCTATCACCTTCATTTCACAGATGAAGAAATGGGCTTAGAGATCTGAGGCTTGGGACACTCATGGTGTCACGTCTGAGCCTCAGTTTCCCCACCTGTGAAACAGTGATAGCTGCACCTCCAGACAAGACTGTGAGACCAGGCGGCAGTCCAGAGAACATTCTGCAGCCAACACCGAAGCCAGTGAGAATGACTCAGGAGAGCCCCTGGGCACATAACTGAGAGCGTGAGGATGACACCATACCTGCCACCCCTTCTGAAAAGAGACTGCTTATCTGAGGCAGGATCAGCCTGGCCTAGATGCAAGGCGACTTCTACAGGAAGGGCTCCGGCACTCCCCAGAGAGAAAGCCAGGGCCTTGGGGACACAGGGTCATCGACCCAGGGAGATGCTCCTTCAGGGGGTGACCCACCTTCCCTGTGTCTTCAGGCCCCGGCTGCAATGTCACAGAGCATGGGAGGTTGGGAGGGATCTGTTAAGAGGATAGACAGACATGTCACATTCACCACTGACCTCCCGTGTCTCCCATCCCTGCCACCCCTACACACATTCATTAGACCAGGGGCCCCTAAGGACAAGCCATGTCCCTTCCATTAGACTAGAGGATTCAGAGGACAGACCATGGCTCCCCATCAGACCATGCCAAGCCATGTACGTTAGACCAGAGGCCCCCTTCACTAAAGCCAAGGATTTCAGTGTTTTTAGTTATCTAAGGGTTTAGCCCAGTACAGTCCCTAAAGAACAAGAGTTGGAAAAGGTCTTTCCATGATGTCCACTGTGGTAGGCAGAATAATGGCCCCCAAAGAGGTCCACATCCTAATCTCCAAAACCTGCGACCATTACCATAAATGGCAAAAGGGACTTTATAGGTGTGATTGAGCTAAGGATCCTGAGATAGGGAGATGCGCCTGGATTATCCAGGTAGACCTGATGTAATCACGGGGTCCTTAACAGTGAAAGCAAGAAGCAGAATAGTCAGCGTCAGAGTGATGGGATTCGAGAAAGACTGGACCTGCCACTGCTGGTTTGAAGATGGAGGAGGGATAGGCTAGGGCCCAAACATGTGAGTGCCTTTCCTCTAGAAGAAGGAAGAGGCAAGGAAACAGATTCCTCCTAGAACCTCCAGAAAGAATGCAGCCCTGATGACACTCGATTTTAGTCCAGTGGGACCTGCTTTTGACTTCTGGACTCCAGAACTGTAAGGTAACACATCTGTGTTTTAATTGGCAGGTCTAATTACTGCCAGGTTTGTGGTGGTTTGTAACAGCAACCACAGGAAATCTACAAAGGAGAGGATGGCTCCTTCTATAACCCTCACAGAGAGCCAGGGGATTTCACTGAATCACAGAATCAGAGTCTGAGAAACAGGAAATTTGAAAATCCAGAATCTTGGAGTCTTGGAGGGGAAAGGTGGCAGAGAAGGGAAATCCACAACTTGCCATCCTCGTTTGTGAGCTGGGTTGAAGCCGGGCTAGTGGGCAAATGGTCTGAGGGAGGAGACAGCCTTGTAAAGTGACCCAGGGGCCAGAAAGGGCTCCTTCTGTCTCTGCAGCCCCCACCCCGACCTCCCTTTCTCCCACCAATGACATGGACTCAGGAGGGTCTGAGGAGTAGCCCAGAAGTAAGGGTGACGCCGCTGGCAGTGGCCAGAGGCAGTTAGCAGGCGATGTAAGTGCCAGTGCCCTGGTCCCAGGGTACACGGGCAAACTGGTTGGCATGGAGCTGCTGTCCCAGCTGCCCCCATGTGCCCCGCAGAGGGCTTCCCAGAGGTGGTGCTTCTGGAGTGGGGCCCCAGGGGCTGGCAGTCCCTGACCTCAAAGGTGAAGGGGTAGGCATGCTCGCCCAGCTTCTTGATGAGGCGCTCCTGCAGCCGCGTCAGGGGCTTCTTGTCCTCGGGGGCCGGTGGGAAGGACTGCACGTTGGCCACAAACAGGTCCTTGCGAAAGGTCAGGCCCAAGACATCCAGGTCCTCCCGGCCATAGCGGAAGGCGCAGGTCAATGTCACATATACTGTGGGAGCAGGGGGCACTGAGGAGGGGCCTGGGAGGGCAGCAAGCATGCCTCCCAGAGTGCTAGCCGCAGCCCTGGGGCTGGCTCCAGCGGAGGCACTGGTCTGTCCCAGAGCTCCTGTGGGGAGGGCTGCGCTGCCCTTGGGAGGCGGGTGTTGAGTGCTTGGCCCCTGGGAGTACGTGGTGCTGACTGCTGGATCAGTTCTGTCCTTCTCCACCCCTACTGCGGCCCAGGGCACGTGTGGACAGGGTTGACAGGGTTGACAGCGTTGGTAGGGGCTGGGAAGGAGCACAGTAGGAAAGAGTAGAGGGGTGGAGCCAAGTGCTGGGCGGTGTCCGGAAGGCATGGAGTCTTGTCCCAGCTCAACCCCCACCTGCTATCTTCCTGCTGACCTTGGACAATCCCTTAACCTCCCCAGGAATCAGTCTTCTCTTCTGTACAACGAGACCCTAACTGCTGTCCTGTTCGCATCCCCAGCCTTGCAACAGTGATGATGGATTTATGTAAAAGTGCTCAGAGCATGAAAATGTTCTCCCCAAGTGGGTGTGGGCAGGGCCGCCTCAGGCTGGAGGAGGCTATGGCACCTGATCTGTCATTGGCTGGAGCTGTCAAGGGAAGAACCAATGAGGAGGGACAGGGACAGGCTTGTTCCCTCTTATCGCCAATGTTCTGCCTGGGAGGTCAGGGAGGCCCTGGGCTGGAGATTATAGGTGAGGAGGAGGCCCCTTGACAGGGTGGGGGAGGGGGCCACAGCCTCACCTCTCCTCTCCTTGAGATACTCAGGATCCACCAGGACCACACCATCTGGAGGAAGAACAAAGAGTGAGCAGACCACCCTGACCTGACCTCTCAAACTTCTGAGCCCCAAACACCAAGTTAAATTCAAACCCAACCATCTGTCTGTCCAAAAGCATCATGAGAGAAAATGAGAGGCCAGCACCCAGGGGATGGTACTGCCATGCCCTCCTCCACCCACGCACCCAGACTGGCCTTACAGACCCAGATTTTGACTTTGGGGAAATTATTTAACTTCTGTTTCTTCATCTGTTAGTAAAAATAGTAAGATGGGTCCAAAACCCCAATATCAGGTATACTTTGGAATTCAGAAGTGTTGCCTTGCAGAAAGGTCACATGGTCCATGTTCCATATACTCTCTAACGCCCTCAGCAGGCTCTGGGGCCACACCTCTTGTCAAACCCATTAATACCTCTTCAGGGTCATGTGAATATTTTCACCAAGAAGCTAAGGCATAACTAGCCTCCCATTAGCTCAGGTTAGGTTTGCCGCTAACTGAATTCTGTGTCAAACTTATGAACAATTTGAAGCCTTCAGAGCTTTTGGATTTAGGGATCAGGGCTTCTGATCCTGTAGTACCTACCTCACGGGCCCCTGTGAGGACTAAATGAATTAATATATATACAGTGTTAGATGGTGCCTGGCATATGTGACACCATGGAGAATGTCCCAAAGCCTGGCCTTGGGAGTGCAGAGTCCAGCTGGAGACAGGATATTCTCTCTGCCCAGGACCCCAGGAGGCCAGAAACACTGGCTCAGGGATCACCCCTCGCCTGACATCACCAATCTAACCCACCGCTGCCCCACCCCACACTGCCCCCTACAACCAACTGCTCAGGGAACCTCAGAGGCCACATTAAGAAGTGTACCTGCCCAGTCCCATCCCAGTGCTGGGCAGGTCCGAGGGCCAGCTGGTCAGGGGAGTGCCCACCCTGTGCACACAGCGTGCCAGGCATCTTCCCTCCTTTTACTGTGGGGTTTCCTCTGTGCCTGGGCACCAGGGGCTGAGTGGAAACTCAGTGGAGGGGGCATCTCAGAAAGGGCACTCCCTGAACCAGGGGTGTCAGGGAAGGCTCCCAGGGGGAGGGAAACTGGGGTCAGGTCTTAAGAGCAAGTAAGGGCTGTTATTTAGATGACTAAGGGACAGGCCAGATGGGCAGTGGGAAGAGCATGACACTAAGGCTTGGGAGAGCAGATCCTGAAGGCCAGTGGAGCAAGGAGGGCTGACCCTGACCTTAAATGTCCTGTCTGCAAGGCCAGGGGGCTCAGACTTGCCCCTGAGTTTGAAGGGGAACCAGGGGGAAACGTTAAGCTTCAGGAAGACATAATCACCTCAACATGTGAAGGAAAAAGGTTTTCTCACTGTGTGTCATTTAAACAACTCTTGACAATGCCCCAGCACTCTCTGGGGTCTGCAGGGCCCAGCACAGGGCCTGGCCTGAAGCAGGTGCTCTGTGAACACTTGTCAAGCAGTTCTCAGGTGCCGGTGTATGTTGGGGGAGCCAGATTCCCCGGCTCCTGCCCCTACCCCTAGGCCCCGTGCCCCCGCTGCTGTGCTTAAAGGCCAATAGGTGTGGACATCCCTGGCCTCCGACAGCCTGAAGCAGGTCACAGGCGAACACAGGGATGCTTGCTCACTGCCTCCAAGTTCAGGGAGGAGATGGAAACAGCAGAGGGGGCAGTGAGCTTCAAAGGACACCAGACAGGGCAAGGAAGGAAAAGTGGGGTCCTGTTGCTCCAAGTCACGAAGGGAGGGGCCTGGAATAGAACTGGACTCTGCAGCCTACAGCCTCCTCGGGGACCCCAGGGAACCTCCAGGTCTCCTGCCCCAGCATTGCAAAGGCCTTCCTCCCAGAGAGCTGAAACCTGCCACTCCACTCTCTCTGCCCAGCCTGGGCTCTGGAACCACACATCACTCCTGCCCACTTGGCCCCAGCACAGCCCCAAGACCACGTTCTCTCTGTGAACTTTTCCCCGAGCAACACATCCCAATTTCTTCACCTCGACGTAGCAGCTTCCAGGACCCATCCTCCCAACCTGCCACCTTCTTTGGCCTCATTCGAGTTTGTTCGTGTCCATCTTTAGTCATTTAACCTCTCTGGGCTTCGCTGTCCACATTTGTAAAATAGGGGTAATCCTGGGCCTCAGACAGCTGTGGGACGAGGCAATGAGATCAAGGCTCTTCTAACGAGAGCTATGGTTCTTAGAATCCTAACCGAGGGCGATTTTGCCCACAGAGGGACATTTGGCAATGTTGAAAACCACTTTCGATTGTCACACTGGGATGGGGGGACTCCCGGTGTCTAACGGGTAGAGGCTAGGGATGCTGCTGAGTATCCTTCAACGCACAGGACAGTCTCTGCCAGCAAGGAATTATCCAATCCAAAATGTTAAGAGTGCCGAGGCTGAGAAACCCTGAACTAGGAAAAGTCCTTGTGGCCTTTAGCCACAGCCCAGCCTCTGATAAGACCCCCATGAGAGTGAGGACAGCCTCCATTTCACAAGCCCCTAGGTTTTCCTTCCACCTCCCATCCTTTTCCATCAGGAGGCAGCAGAACAAAGGTTCGGTGGAGCCAGACTGCTTGGGTTTGAATCCAGGCTCCTTGATCTACTAGCTCTGTGATCTGGGGGAAGTCACTTAACCTCTCTGTGCCTTGTTCTCTGAAAAGCAGGGATAGAACAACAGTAGCTACCCCAGTGTTGGGAGCATATTAAGCCTTATGATAAGAGGTGGCTACTGTCAGCATCATCCTCATCCTCCTTATCAGGACATCTTCCCCGCTTCTTACCATAATTGCCTCTCGCATGCTCCTTAACTGAACAGGAAAGCAGCTGCTTGGTAAGTGTTTGCTGACTGAAGCAAAAAGCCACACACACCCTATTCTTGGACCAGGTCCCTCTGGAGACCTGAAGGCTATTTCTGGGCAGCCTCAACATGCCCTTCTCTGGAAGGGGCCAGGCCAGCCCTGCCTCCCCCATTGCCTCCCTCCCTGGCCTCCAGGGACTCACCCACGGGGTCCACGAGGTCGATGTGGTCCACAAAGTCCCGCTTTCCCAGATAGACGGTGAGCTGGGGAGGAGAGGCACAGGGCACATTAGCAGCTGTGGGCCCCACCCTGGAAGAAACCCTGGGAGCTGCCGCAGAAATCCCTGGACCCATCCCTAACCCTCATTGAAATCTCAGCTGGACTTGGACCCAAGCCCCAGGCCTGATACTAAGAATAACAAACCCTTGTACAATTTTAAAAGCACCCATTCATCCCAAAACCCATGAAGAGGTTGTTACAGTTCCCATTTTGCAGATGAGGACACTGAGGCCTGGATGGGTCTTCATGCCAACAAGCACCACTGAGGGTCGAGGGGCAGCAGCAAAGAAGTCTGCTGAGTGGGGGTGCAGGCACATCTCTGAGAGGACAAGGGGATCCAGAGCAGGGCCAGAGGCACCGAGAACTCTGGATGCTGAGCTCTGTGCCCTTTCTGCTTCCTGCCCCTGTGCGGTCTGCAGGGATCCACTCGAAGGAGGACTTGTTTTCTGAGGCAGTAAGCCAGTGCCTCGCTCAGTAGCCAGCCTTCGGGGAGGAACCCCAGAGCTAGAATCCAAAGTGTCATTCTAGGTGCTTCCTACTCCTCCACAGTCCCTAAATCCTGACGGGTCTCCTGCCATCAGATTTCTCAGTCCACCCCCTCTCTCCATCCCCACAGCCACCCTTGCCTGGACTGCATACCAGCCCCTCAATGGTCTGCTGCCTAGAGCCTCCTGCACTTCAACCATTCTCCCCTCCTTAGCCAGACTAATCATCCTAAAATGCAAATTTAACCATAGTATTCTTGTCTGAAAACCCTCTAATGGTTCCTCAGTGCCTGGAGGTGAGATACCAAATGAGTTTCATTTCAGATGCCAACTCTGATCATTGGTAGGGGCTGCCTGCAGCCCTGGGCTGAAAAGGAATCCAAGATGGAATACTGGCTCAGAAGAAAAGGGTAAAGGGCAACTGGTGATGTCTGCTGTGGGCACAGAAGGGAGACACGGGCGCACACGTGGTGCTGTCTGCCAGTCCAAACCAGGAGTCCAGACTCCTAAGCCTGGCCACAAGACTCAAGGACCCAGCCCTGCAACCTCCCCACCTCAGCTCCTGTTCCCTCTGCCTCCCTCTCGGCACCCAGACTGCCTGCGATTTCTTTTCATGCCTCCAATATCCTTTTCCACACTGCCTTTCCTGGAAATGCATCCCTCCTCCAGGAAGCCATCCCTGAGCACCCAGGCTGGGTCTGCAGCCCCGGGGCATCCCTCTGTCTCATACTTGCCACTTTATATGGCTGTAAGGGGCACGGGCTATGCCTTATTATCTCAGTACACCCTCCCCCGATCCCCACCAGCTCAGCCTGGACCTGACATGGAATGATGGCAGTAATATCTGTTCGCTAAACTGAGAAGAAAGCAGGATGGAGCCTGGGGCTGTGTAAGAAAGTGGGGCAGGCACTGGGAGCTGCCCCGGATAACAGGGCTGAGTAGAGAGGCTCCAGGGGCCACTCGCACCAGAGGCCTTGGCTCCCACGAGGCCCTTGGCACGTGCTCTCATTACTGCGCTCACAGTGCAGCCTCTCTGTGATAGGTCGTGTCTCCCCACAGCAGGGCAGGGGCTCCCTAAAGTCCAGGGGTGCTGCACACCCCCTTGGACAGAAGGTTTGCTAAGAGGGCTCCTCCTGCTGTGACCAAGGGCTCCTTGGTGACAGAGCTGTGTCTGCCCCTCAGACGGGGTGTTCGGGTCCTGCATGAGCAGAAAAGATGCTGGAGAGAAGACGAGAGTTTGGGGACAGGGAGAAGCCAGGGTGTGGCTGCTACAACTCACCTTTCCATTGGGGCTCGCCTTCTTGAACACCCTAGGGAGAGAAAGAGTGGGAAGGCCAGGTTAGGAAATCCTGCTCAGGGGAAGGCTCCTGCAGGCCATCCCTCAGCAGAACCGAGAACAAGGGGCCCAGAGTGACTTGCAGGGACCATCCAAGCATTGGGAGCCGGGCATGATCGGATCTCACCACCTCCCCCGCTATCCCCACCCCACCCTAGCTGCCATGCTTGCCTTGATAGCTCTCCTGGGCTCCCTTGACAGCCCCCTTGGTCTATTCTTAACCCAGCAGGCAGGGGGAGTCTTCCAAGATAGGTCAGACCATGCCACTGGTTTGCTCAAAGTCCTCCCAGCTCAGGCAGAGGCACAGCCTTGTGTGTGTGTGTCTGCCCACCTCCTTTCCCTCCAGGCCTCACCTCCCACTCCTCTCCCCAGCCTCCAGTCACGAGCCTGCTTGCCTTTCCTCCAGCACACCACCAACACATCCCGGACGCTCTCCCCGCACAGAGCTGCTCCCCAGGCCTTGAGCCTTACTTATATGATGGGCTTCACCCTCTGTCCACCCAGCATTCCCAGTCCTCCTCTCACTCGACCTTCCCTTTTCCCACAGCACTCACGGCTTCCTAACCTACTACACAGCTGACTCGCTGATTACATTTATGCCTCTCTACTCTGCCAGTGTCAGCTCCGTGAAGACAGGGATCTTTGTCTCTCTTGTCTACTGATGCATCTTTAGTACCTAGAATGGTGCACCTAGTAGGTGTTTAATATATCTGTGTTAATGAATGGCAGGGAGCAAGCTTCCAATAAATATTAGTTGAGAAGGTGAATAAATGAATTAGGGAAGGAATCAAGTGAGAAACTGAGGCCAAGGGAAGGGAGGGGACGTGCCCATGGCTGCACAGCAGAGCACTGGGTGTGAAGTCAGGAAGAGGCATGGTTCCTGACTCCCACAAAGTGCTCCCTCGGCCTTCCAGAGCCCGCTGTGGCCCTCAGCAACACCTCCTGCCCTCCCCACTAGCTGGGGGAGAGGGTCTGGGAGCCTGAGGCCCCTCACCTATCCCCATCATCTAGACCCAGAATTGCTCAGAGTAACATTGGGAGGGAGAGGAGAAGTGTGAAAGGTAGAAACAGAGACACAGAAACAGGAGAACGTATTGGAGGAGGGAAGGGAGGGAGGGAGAGGAAAGAAAAGGGACGCTGGTCCTGGAAGTGTGAAAATAAAAGATAGAATGAGAGAAGAAAAAATAAAGAGAGGGAGAGAGAAACAGTCACAGAGAGAGATGGAACAGACACAGAGCAACAGAGCAGGCCTGCACGCACTGAGAGGGATCCAGGCAGCCCAAATCCTGGAGGAACAGGAGGTCCAGCAGGCACCCAGGACAAGGCTGGGTGGGGCCCACAGTGTCACAGTGACGGCAGGTCCTTCCAGAAAGGGAGTGGGGTGGTGGCTTTGAGCTGCCTCCACACCTGCCCCGTTCACCCCCACCCCTTCCTTTTGGGGCCCAAGGGACTACTGATGGATCTGAGCTTGGCTAGCCAACAAGGACTAGCCCATCCCTCCCCCACCTCCTCTAGGACTTCTGGGCTTTTCTCCTCATAAATATTTATCAGTGTTTGGAGTGTGAAGATGCCACAGTCGGCTAGGGTATAATAATCACTAAAGTGAGAAAAAGTACAGATCACACGGTTTGAACCAGCAGCTCCCAATCTAAGGCTGGACCCGCAGAGAAGACCAGAGAAGTGACAGGCCTCAGGTACACCAGCTGCTTCCAGAAGCCTCAGTGATTCAGATCCTCAGGAGCCCCAGGTCTGAGAAAAGGGAGCAGCCACAAATGCCCAGGGCCACACATAACTGAGCCAGGAAAAGCCATTCCAGTGACCCCTGAGAAGGACTAAGGCACCCTGGCCACAGGAGGAGGCCGGGGCCAGCAGGGAGGAGTGATAGGGAGGGAGGGAAGGAAGCAAGAAGGAACTAACGTTTTTAAAAAGAAGGAACTGGAATTTGTTGAGTGCTCAATTAATTATTTCTCATAACAGCGCTGTGAAGTGGGCATTAGAATGCTCATTTTATAGATAATGAACTCAAGGCTAAGAGAGATGTAGTAATTTTCCCAGGAACACACAGCAAGCAAGGGGCCGATAAGTCAGAAATCAGACCCAGTTCCGTCTGTCGGCCTCCAGAGGCTGGGTATTTTATATCCAAGCCTGCTGCTTTCCTGAAGCAGGTGTTTTTAGCAACATCAAGAATAACAAAAAAAGAGGGGAAACGAGGACAGGAGGGTGGGCGGGAAGGAAGAAAGGAAAGAGTGAGTAAGGGACAAGGAGGAGAATGAGGGGCAGGAAGCAGGGCCAGCCCAGTGGAGGGGGATGTCCAGTCAGCCTGGGGCCACCTCCTCAGGGTGCTGGATACTGATGGCTTCCTCAGAAACAACAGCAGCTGCCCATGCCCTCCAAGCATGTACGCCCTCATCATGTCTCTAAGTGTTTTTCCCAGAACATTGTTGTGGCTCCTTCAACAATCCCATTTCAGAGACAATAAAACTGAGGCTCAAAGAGGGAAACTGTGGCTGCCTGTCTCCAGAGCGAGAGTCCCACAGCCAAATCGTCCCTGAAACAACTCCACTGGCTTCCTGACCCCAGTGCTGGCAGAAAAAAGGCCCCCATGGAGGTGCTTCCAGTTCACTGGGACCCCTGCCCATACAGCACCTTACAGATCGCTTCTGCCTGTCCACTTTGAAGAGCAAGCACAAACACGCAAGGCTGAGGTCAAAGCCAAACTTCCAGACTGTGGGATGGCTGCATTTGGCTCACCCCCAAGTCCCATCTGAGCCCCACAAGCCTGATCCTCAGAGCCAAAACTGCATCCCATAAGCGAAATACCGGCGGTATTCTACATGATTAAGACTCTGGAGACAAGGAACAGAAACCCACCAGGCAGAGCTCAAGAAAAGGAAGTGGGGGGTATGATAAGGAGGCAAAAGTCTCACGGGATGGATATGCAGGCAGGATGCACGGGGGCTGGAGCCAGGAACAGGGAAGCCATCAGCCTCTCAGGCGGCTGCTCTCTCTCTCCATCTCTCCCCCTGGGGCTGCATGTTCTCCTGGCTGCACTGCTCTCTGTGCGGCTGCTCCATTGTCTCTGTGGACCAACTCTCTCTGCTTACTCAGAGCTTTTCTGCTCCTCCATCATTTTGGCTTGCATGTGGCTCTCACTCCAACTGGGCTTCTACTCTGCCTCTGCTCAGCTTCCCACTGTTAACTGGCTGAATGGCCCAATTCCAAATTCCCAGGAGAGGAATTTGATTGGTCAGCTGTGGTCAGGTGTTCCACGACTGGGCCAATCAGCTAGGCCTAGGTTGTGTCACGTGGTCCATGAGGCATGGGCAGAGGAGGGCCTATAGAGCAGTGTTTTTCAAACCAAGGGTCACAACACATTAGTTGACAATGAAATCAACTTAAGGAATTGCCACCAGCACTTTGTCACTGTTATTGTTTAAGGGAAGAGATTTAAGCATGAGGTGCAGATGGCAAAGGAACAGTATTTATTACCATATTTACCAGTATTCCATTCCCCTCTAAGACTGGGTATATGGGTGAATCAAATTTCTCCAGTCCTATGAAGTCAGACATGCCCGTGCAGCTTGTCTGGACAAGGAAATACAGGTAGAAGTTCCATATGTCACTTCTGGGCAGAAGCATTGAAAGGCTGGTGCATGGTTTCCCCAGGCTGTTTATATTAGTCTTCTATGGAGATTATAACAAATGATCATGAACCTAGTGGCTTAGAACAACATAAATTTATTATCTTGCAGTTTTATAGTTCAGAAGTTCAAAATGTACTTCACTAGGCTAAACTCAAGATGCTGGTAGGGCCATGTTCCTTTCCAGAGGTTCTAGGGAGAAATCTATTTCCTTGCCCTTTCCATGCACAATCCATGTCTCAAGATCTCTTCCTCCACCTTCAAAGCCAGCAACAGCAAGTTAGGTTCTTACCACATTGCATCACTCCAACCTCCTCTTCTGCTTCCCTTTTCCACTTTTAAAGACCCTTATGAATACATACAACTCCCTATTTTAAGATTAACTAATTTTAGGAAACTTAATTCCATCTGCAACTGTAATTCCCTTTTGCCATATGATATAAACTATTCAAAGGTTCCAAGAATTAGGACGTAGACATTGTTGGGGAACCATTTATCTGCCTACCACACCCTCTTTCCTCTGTCACTGAAACTAGCCATGATCTGGCTAGGGAAGTCTCCAGCAGCCTAAATCCCAGGGCTCTCCTGCTAGATGATAGACATGTAGCATGAGGAAGAAGGCTCTTGAGCCACTAAGACTTGGGGACTGTTTGTAACTGCAGCAGACCAGCTTCTCCTGGCAGACACAAAAATTATTTTTTAATAAAACTTTTGTTTCAGATGAACTGAGTTGCAATGTAAAATGAATGTCATGCTGTAGATTTTTCTATGTTTAAAATCCACCGTTCTAGAGAAACATACCGAAAACAAACATGCTCTATCAGTGTCTATGCAGCCTATTGGATCCTATTTTCTGATTCTGCTGCTCTTCTGTGAGCCAGCAGTCCTCCCAATGCCCACTTGTGCCTGTAGGCAGAGGTCTATACCATGGGGGACTCAGAACAAAATATCTTCCTAGATAGATCACCCAACAACTAGCAGTTTATAATTCTGTTCAGCCAAACAGTGGAATATTACACAGCACTGAAGTTATGCTTGCATCTTTCATAACACAGGGAAATGCCTATGATAGAATGTTAAGCAGAATAAATCAGGAATAAAAGCAGTATGTTTGGCATGAGCTCAACTTTATACTCAATAAACATGCCAAAGAAAAAATGAAGACAAAGTTGTTAAAATGGCAATACTCCTCATACTGACCTATGGATTCAGTGCAATCCCTATCAAAATCCCAGCTGGATTTTTTGCCAGAATTGACAGGCTGATCCTAAAATTCATATGGAAATGCAATATCCAAAACAATCTTCAAAAAAAATAACAAAGTTGTAGGACTCAGACTTCCCAAATTCAAAACTTATTACAAAGCTACAGTAATACAGAATGTGTGACACTGGCATAAAGACAGACATATGGATCAATGGAACAAAACTGAGAGTCCAGAAATAAACCCATATATTTGTCAGCTGATTTTTGACAAGGGAATCAAGACAACTCAATGGGGATAAAAATAGTCTTTTCAACAAATGATGCTTGGACAACTGGATATCCACATGCAAAAGAAATTAAATTGGACCGCCTACCTCACACCATATACAACAATTAACTCAAAATGTATCAAAGATCTAAATGTAAGTGCTAAAACATATTTTCTTAGAAGAAAACATTAGTGTAAACCTACATAACCTTGGATAAGGTAATGGCTTCTTAGACACGACACCAAAAGCACAGGCAACTAAAGAAAAAAGTAGATAAACTGCACTTCATCAAAATTAAAGACTCTGGAGCTTCAAAGGTCACTATCAAGAAAGTAAAAAGATAATCCATAGAATGGAGGAAATACTTTCAAATCATGTATCTAATAAGGGTCTAGTATCAAGGATATATACTCTATTATGATTCAACATCAAATAGGCAAATAATTAAAAGCAGGCAATGGATTTGAATAGACATTTCTTCAGAGAAGATACACAAGTGGCCAATAAGCACATGAAAAAATGTTCAACATCATTTGTCACTGGGGAAATGCTAATTAAAGACACAATGAGATACTTCACACCCACTAGGATAGCTATCATCAAAAAGGACAACAGTAAACGTTATTGAGAATGTGGGGAAACAGGAACCCTTGTACACTGTGGTGGTGATGTAAAGGGGTGCAGTCACTTTGGCAAACAGTCTGGCAGTTCCTCTAAATGTTAAACATACACTTAACATATGACCCAGCAATTCCATTCCTAAGTAGATACCCAAGAGAACTGGAAATGATATCTACACAAATTCTTGTACATAAATATTCATAATGGCATTATTCATAACAGTCATAAAACTGAAACAAACCCAAATGTCCATCAACTGATGAATGTATTTTTTAAAAGTGGCATCTACATGCAATGGAATATTATTCAACCATTAAAAGGGATGAAGCACTGATTCGTACTACGACATGGCTACAACTTGAAAACATTATGTAGCATGAAAGAAGCCAGACACAGAAAGCCATATGTTGTTTGATGTTTGATTCCATTTATATGAAATGTCCAGAATTGGCACCTACATGGACACAGAAGGCAGAGGAGGGGTTTCCAGGGGCTGGTGGGAGGGGGAAATGGGAAGTGATTGCTAATGGGTAGGAGTCTCTTTTTGGGGTGATGAATATGTCTGGAATTAGACAGTGGTGATGGTTACACAACCTGTGACTATACTAAACACCACTGCATTTTACACTAAAAACTCAATATTGTGGTATATAAATTATATTTCAATTTTAAAAACTAAAGCTAAAATGAATGAAAGGAAAGGAAGTATGCCTAAATGCTAACAGGGGTTGAAGGACCCTTCGTCCATCCACCAACTTGCTTCTTTATAGCCCTTATTTTTCCACGTTGTACAATGAGCACAAATTACTTCACAAAGATGCCAGGGCTTCCATAACAAGATATGTCTCAAGTCTTAGTGAAAAAATACTGATGTGAGATAGAGAAGATAAGAATCCTATGACTCTGAATCCTTTGATGTTAGAATCTCAGATTCTGCGATTCCTCAGATCCCTCCCCAGGCCTACTGGGTCAGCTGTCAGAACTGCTATGCTGTGTCTTCTGCTCAGCTCTCTCTTTCTCCAGGAAGCCTTCCCTGACTCCCCCCAAATTTGGATTAGATGCCCCCCAACTTCCATACCCAGTGTGTCCCCAGTCACAGTATTTATCACATTTTGCATAAGTCTGTTAACTCACTCTCTGCTTCCCTTCCATAATTTATATGAGAGTACAGATTTTATTTGTGTTATTGATCCTGGATCCCTGGGACACAGCATGGTGCCTGGACCACAGTAGGTGCTCAGTAAATACAGCTGGAATGCCGTTGAATGAATGCCCTAAGAGAGAATTAGTCAAGAGCGAGGATGGATGAAGTTTAAAAAGAGGTAGTGATGATCCTTTGCTCTGGGCGAGTGGACTCCAGGGATTTATTCTTCTAGCTATACCTCTCTAAGGCTCTCAGGATCAGTAGCACTGGGCTTAGAAAATGTTTCGCAGGGGCAGGTCCCAGCCACCATCAGGCTGAGCCAGGAATACAACTGACACACCCAGACGGGCCTCTGCTCAGCTTTGACCAATGACTCTCCCATTTATCATTCACTTACCCAGTAAACATTCACACAGCTCCTACCACTGCCAGGCTCTGCAGGCACTAAGATGAACAATTCATGGTCCCTGCTGATAAAAGACCATGGTAGAGTCAAGTTAGAGAAACCCCCAGCCATGACGGCCACTGTGCATGAGCTCTCCGTATAAAAGGCAGCTGCTGTGCTAAGAACTTCACACACAATAAGATACCATATTATTCCATCTAGATACTCCCTTTTTTCAAAAGAGAAACCTGAGATTCAGAGACCTTAAATAACTTAACCAAGGTCTCAAAACCGTATCAGAAAACTCATACAGGAGAGAAACCCCCTGAATGGACCATCTATGGGAAATCATTCAGCCAAAACACATCTTACTCAACATCAGAAAACTCATCCTGGAGAGATTACCTGTAAATGCAGATTTACTACCAGTAAATTGAGAGAGAGCTGGCAACAATTCATTCCTCTGTAAGCATCAGAAAATTCATGTTAGATAAAAATGCTATGAATATGGCGAATATGGGGAGGCCTTCAGATAGTAATCTTAATCAACAACAGAAAACTTATCCAGGAGAGAAACCAGGCGCCAATGACTGCTCTAAGTGTGTTATAAATATTAACCCATTTGTTCCTCCAACAACATGTAAGGAGGTACTATTATCCCCATCTCACAGATGAGGAAACTGGGGCACAGAGAATCTAAGTAATTTGCCCAAGGTCACACAGCTAGTAAGAGGCAGAGCTAGATATTGGAATCCAGGCAGTCTAGCTCCAGAGATCACACTTTCAATCACTCACGATACTACCTTATAGGTGGGATTGTGTGGTTCTGTCTGTCAGGAAAGGCTTCAAGGGAGGAGGCAGCAATGAGGGGGATCTTTAAGAAAACACAGAGGTGCAGAAGAGGTGACAGCCCTGCAGGCAGAGGCCTGGGGAGGGCAACTGAGTTCACTGGGTGTTGGGGAGATAGTGAGAAATCTAAGTTTGTCTGAAGGGCCTGGGAGGAGCACCAGGGAAGAGGACA